AATATGCAAGTCATATTCATCCATTTTAACTGGGTAGCTGGAGATTTTCTCACAACTCAAAAAAAAATTATGAAATTTTTAAATTCTTCTCAGTTACTTGTGCATTTTTTTTTAATGAAAAACTAATTTATCTTTAGTAATCTAACAGAGTTGGTTTGAAGACCTAAACAATAGAGTGTTTGGAGAAAACAAAAGAATCTTTAAATCCCTGAAATAAAGTATAGAAAAAAAGGAATTGATATTGAAAAAAGAAAAAAAAAATGAAACTAAAAAAAGACAAATAATTATTACAAGATGGCTGACAACTTGCAAATATGCTAACTTACACACAACCTATTTGCATGAAATTTTCAGAATTTTGATGAAGAGATTTAGATTTGATTTTGTGGAATTTAGTCTCTTCTGCTAATCTTAAAACATTTTCAACTTTATATATTTTAATATTGCATCTTCACTTTTCCTTATATTGAATTGATAAATCTCTACTCAAATTTTGAATGGACATTGAGAATATTTGAAAACCTGACCAATTATTACACCATATATTTGAATATTCCCACCAGATATCTTGTTTATTGCTAGTTATTAAGTGACAGCAAGTCACCTTCAATCTCCAACACCTTCCTCAGTATCCTACAGTAACCAGAAGGATTTCAATTTTTCCCTATATTTTTGAATTTATCTAAACTTGATTCTGGTGTTATAGACATGATCCATAGTTTTCTCATTTTCCAGGTAAGAGCAGGATGTTTTTCCAAAATTTTATTGTTTGCTTTTGTTTTTATTCTCTATTCCATTCTATATCTACAATCTGGCAGGTTTTCTTTTTCTTGTTGAGGATTATTGGTAACTGAAAAATATATGCAGGTGCCAAGAGTTTTAAAATTCCAAATGTCACAAAACCAATTTCTCTGTTGTTTTCCAAGTACCAGCCTTGCAAAAGCAGATTCTGATATACCTTAGATACTGTCATATGCCCTAGTCGACGAATGGGTTTATAAGGTGATCATACGCCGACTAGAAGATATATACATTCTCACACCTGTAGAGAAATACAAGCTATCTCTCCCAGATCGTGAAATGGACAATTGGTAAACAAAAATATTTTTAAGACCTTCAATTGGGATAATCGAACAGTAATCTTTCCAGGTCCGCTTCATTTTCAACACGAATACTGATCCACAATACAAGGATGAACTATAAGGCTTAGCGATTTTTGATGCAAGAATTTTAATATGTACAAATATACAAATATCAAAATAAACAGAACAGACAAGTATGAGTTAAAATATCCGACGACCAGATCTCAAGACTTACATTGGGATATCAAAATTCGCCTAACTCCAAATGGATTCAACTGACCCCAAACATACAAAAATATAAGTTTGAATTACTATGAATTGAATGCAGAAGCCAACGCATACACAAAAGAGATGGGATAGGAGTTACAATTATTGTTTTGACATGTGGAAAGGTGTTTGCAAGAACATAATATTCATGGATGTATGTATATCTTTCTATTACGGGTCCAAAATATGATTACTTATCTTTTATATTCAGTTCTCTTTTTTTTATCATTGTTCTTTCTTTTCTTTTCTCGACACAAACACAATTTCACACACTGTCCGGCTGTAATAGAGGTATACACTTTCTTCCTCTCTTTGTTTTGCCTTTTTCTTTCCTTCCTTTTTCTTTTGTAGACAGTTCAGTTTCCAAACCCGACTCACTGCAAGAGGGATGTGTACACTTTCTTCCTCTCTTTGGTTTTCTTCTTTCTTTCCTTCTTCTTCTTCTTTACACAATTCAGCTTATAACAGAGGTATACACTTTCTTCCTCTCTTTGGATATCCTTTTTCTTTTCTTTACACAATTCAACTTGTAACAGAGATATATGCTTTCTTCTCTGGTTTTCCTTTTTCTTTAAATGCAGGCTGAATCCTCAGTGTATAAATTTCTCTGTGTCTTCAATTTGGGGTTCTCGAACAGGAATACTTCTTGTTATATTTCTTGTCTGGAGTTGCCTGGGTTGAACTGGATAAGTTCCATCACTATCAAATGAGTCTTATCTTTCTGTTCATAAACTACCAGGGCTTCAACTTCAGGTCTTGCCTCTTCAAAGTCAAAATAGCAACTGATTCTCGACTGAATCTCTGACTACCACATGTCTTAAGTTTTGGTGTGAATTCCAGCTTACATCAGTCCCCTGTCTAGCTTCTGTCTAGACATTTGTCGCTATGGGTAAATGGGTCAGTCAACCTTTTGACCTGCCTTCCCAAAATGTCATAAGACTCCCACGTGACCTTTATTCTGTTGCTAGGTGGAAATTAACCCTAATATATGCATGTTTAGGCTATCTGCTTTCGTCACAATACCCACACCTTGTCAGATAAAAATTTGCACAAGCTGCCAAACTCTATGAGGGCTACAAAAAAATCCATTTCAACCATTTTCAATAAACACAACACCTGCATGTTCCAATCAACTAAGTAAGCTATTGAACTCTTCAATACAGTATCAGACCTGATCTTTTCACTTGGATAGGATGATCAGTTTCCTTCTAAAAATTGAAAAATATCTTATGCATTATTTTCTGCAATAGCCACTGAGTTTCTACTGATGCCATTTGCCTAAATGGTCAGAGAAAATTTATATGAATCCCTCGATTAGTGCAGCTAATATGTACATAGATAACTATAAAAAAATCAATTTTCAATTACTATAGTTAAATTGAAGAATGTTTTATCACACTTATCAAGTATGCCCTAATCAAATTTTGATATATAAAAAATTTAGCTCACTACTCTAAAATGCATTAATTGAATGTGCACTAATTGAAGGATGTCTGTATTTGCACAGTTCCCAATACATTACTGTTTCCTAACCTGTCACACTTGCTTTTATATTTCCTTTAAGCCCATTGGGTACAATATGGTTTATTGTCTCAATGTTATACAAAAATGGCATTTAGCTTTTCTTTAGGTTTTCCAATTTTAGCAACATCAGCCTCCATACCAAGATCAAGCTCCACAAATCACTGGTCACATCTATCCTCCTCTACAGGTGTGAGACTTGGACACTCTTTGTTTGGGCAGAAAAAAAAAGGATCCAGGTTTTCAAGAACAAATGCTTAAGAAAGATCCTCCGCATCTCCTACTGAGAGCACAAAACCATTGACTGTGTACGGAGCAAGGTCAAAAGTCTTGTGGGCCAACAAGAATCTCTTCTCGCCACTATACAGCATCAGAAGATGACATGGTTTGGTCACATTACATGGCATAACAGCCTCTGCAAGGCCATCATGCAAGGCACGGTTGAAGGTGAACCCAAGTGGTGGTGACAAGGCAAAAGCTGGTCAGCCAACATCAAATAACAGATGGAGATGACAATGTCAGAACTCTTGAGAGCCACTGCCAACAGATCAGCCTAAGGGAGGAGGCTGTCCATCTTTTGCCCTTAGGCTCCCACCTCACAACAAGTGAAGCAGCCAGGGGACTGATGATGATTTTTTTTTTTTTTTTTTTTTTTATAAATATCCTTATTCAATGATAAGAAACTCTGTTTCACTTTTCTCTGCATCACTATGTCCATAACTCTTCATCTATGATAATGTTTGTCATCCTTACTGCATTATTTTGCACAGTTCTTTGGAGTAAAGTGTTCATTATAATAATCACTGTATCCCTTTCAAATCAAATAGGCTCAACATACTTCATCCAAAGCAGCACTGGATGTGTTTAGGTTATGATAGCTTGAAGGAAAGAAAGGCCTTTACTAGAGCAGTACCAGTCAATTTGGAATTAAGAGAAAAAATAGAATTTTTAATGTAGTAATTGTTGTGTTAGACAGACTACTTATTATTTTTTAACACCGTGTTTCTTTTCAGGACCTTGGGCAACATGCATCTCCACAATTTTTTTTTTCTTTATTATCTGTGAATTACTATGTATTCTTGGAAAAAATAACAGACTAATTTCCATTTGCTTTCTCAGTAGTTTGTAACTTGCTTTCGCAGTTAATTTAATGAGGATTGAATATAAAATAAATGTGCAGTTGATTTGGTATTTTAAATGGTCAAAACTACTTCTGGGAAGATATACAATTTGATATAACACATACTCCAAATGCATAACCCAAGCATCACTCAGCAAGTTTAAAAATATTTACATTTGGATAACTGTTTGTTTAATGTTTAGATTTAGTTTCAAATAAAACTATATCTGTCAAGAGACACATTGATATAGGAAAAGTGTTAAATGCAATTGTCACAAGTTGTTATGATGTTAGAGTAAAAATAGGTTACCACTTTGTATCAGGATTTAACACTTTTGTTATGACTGTGTTGACCATTGTATAGTAAATATTTATGGGTTCCTAGAATATTTATCTAACAAATATTATTGAAGGACTCATGTGAGTCTGAGTAAAAATAAGATATATATTGTGTATATTTAGGCAGAATATTCTCATCCAAACAAGTTGGGTTAAATAATTTAGACATATGTTGATTAATTTTTGTTGTGATCATTTCAAGTTCACAGATTAATTTCAAGGTAGCCTTAAAAAATTGATTAAGAAAAATACCAAAATTTTCTTTCAAATAGTTTTTATTTTCTCAAGTACTTTCAATCTCATCAGAGACCATCTTCAGGAAGTTAAGTTGTTAATATGTTATAACCTGCTGTAAAAACTACCAATAATTAACCATTCAAAACTCCTGAAATATACAAGATATTTTAAATAATTTGGGCCATCCTGCTATTATTTTCTCATGGCCTGAGCTTTGGCCTTCTGAGTTAGCCATCTTTATGAAAAGTAGCCATCTTTCTAGAGAAGCAGTCTTACTAAACCTTTCTTTTGTCATATGTGTTGAGAAAAAACTTGAAAGATTCTTTCTTCAAAATTTAAAATGACAAGAATGAATAATTTTAACACATTATTTTTTGTTTTTATTTATGAACATTGCTTCAGAATTATAGTCTTGAATATGATTTTTGGTTTTGTTATTTTTTCAAAAGTGATAGATAAGAATGAAGGAGAAAATATGCACAACTGGAAAAGATGGATGAGAAGGAAGAATGGAAAGGATAGGAAAGAACAAAAGATATAGATGAGAAGGAAGGACTGAAGAGAAGGAAGAATGGAAAGGATAGGAAAGAACAAAAGATATAGATGAGAAGGAAGGACTGAAGAGAAGGAAGAATGGAAAGGATAGGAAAGAACAAAAGATATAGATGAGAAGGAAGGACTGAAGAGAAGGAAGAATGGAAAGGATAGGAAAGAACAAAAGATATAGATGAGAAGGAAGGACTGAAAGAAGGAAGAATGGAAAGGATAGGAAAGAACAAAAAGATATAGATGAGAAGGAAGGACTGAAGAGAAGGAAGAATGGAAAGGATAGGACAGAACAAAAGATATAGATGAGAAGGAAGGACTGAAGAGAAGGAAGAATGGAAAGGATAGGAAAGAACAAAAAGATATAGATGAGAAGGAAGGACTGAAGAGAAGGAAGAATGGAAAGGATAGGAAAGAACAAAAGATATAGATGAGAAGGAAGGACTGCAGAGAAGGAAGAATGGAAAGGATAGGTTAGAGAGATGGACGGAAAGGACAAAAGATATAGATGAGAAGGAAGGACTGAAGAGAAGGAAGAATGGAAAGGATAGGTTAGAGAGATGGACGGAAAGGACAAAAAGATATAGATGAGAAGGAAGGACTGAAGAGAAGGAAGAATGGAAAGGATAGGTTAGAGAGATGGACGGAAAGGACAAAAGATATAGATGAGAAGGAAGGACTGAAGAGAAGGAAGAATGGAAAGGATAGGTTAGAGAGATGGACGGAAAGGACAAAAGATATAGATGAGAAGGAAGGACTGAAGAGAAGGAAGAATGGAAAGGATAGGTTAGAGAGATGGACGGAAAGGACAAAAGATATAGATGAGAAGGAAGGACTGAAGGGATAGTTTAAAGAGAAGGATAAAAGGGGGCAAAAGTTATGGATGAGAAGGAAGGACCCAAGAGAAGGAAGAATGGAAAGAATAGGTTAAAGACAAGGACAGAAGGGTGAAGTTATGGATGAGAAGGAAGGATGGAAAGGATAAGTAACCATGAAGAACAAAATTTATGAATGAGAAGGAAGTATGGAAAGGATAGGTTAGAGAGAAGAACAGAAGGGACAAAATTTATGTATGAGAAGGAAGGACTGAAGAGAAGGAAAGATGGAAAGGATAAGTAAGAAACAACAACAACAAAATTTATGAATGAGATGGAAAGATGGAAAGGATAGGTTAGAGAGATGGACGGAAGGGACAAAAGATATAGATGAGAAGGAAGGACTCAACGGAAGGAAGAATGGAAAGGATAGGTTAGAGAGAAGGACAGAAGAGACTAAAGTTATGGATGCAAAGGAAGGACTCAAGTGATGTCAAAAAAGGAAGATATAAAACAAGAATGAGAAGGAAGGCTGAAAAGGATAAATGGGTAGGAATGTTAGAAAAGAGAAAATCAGTGCATCTTGTATGAAAACTAATAGCTTATTCTTCTTCTCACTAGAAGAATTAAATATAAAAAAAGAAATGAATCAATACAAGATTCATATGCTCAGTGCATTTTTAAGGATATTTCTATCAAATAAAGCAAATGGAAAACAAAATTCTTTGTACACTGAGATATCTTTCAATGAGAAAAACAATTTCTTTCAAAATCAATACAAAATCCAAAAATAGTTCTCATTTTAAAAACAAATTATGCATTTAAAAAAATAAACATGTGAATTTGTTAATAAATTTCAGGAGTTTTATTCAAATTGCAAGTCAGACTCTTAGAATGAAAATTCTTTCAAAAGAAAAATCATTTGTATTGATAGATGGTCATTTATTACACAGTCTCTATTTTCCTATTGATATTCACCTTTACTTTCAAAATTCTAGTCTTACAGAAAACGTTAGTCATTCTTGAACATTTCTTGATAATTGAAGTTACACTAAGAAAATGTGTGAACTTTTTGTCATTATTATTTTTTCACCTCATAGCAATGAATTACTGTATTTTCCGGCTTACAAGATGCACTTTTTTTCTAAAAATTACCCTGAAAAATATGCGTGCATCTTCCAAGATGAATGTAAGGTAACACTCAGGCTCAAGTAAGCTTCGACAGTCACTTAATTAGCTTGTCTGATACAGACGTGGATTTGTATGTTGAGTCATTATACTAATTTAGCTATCTATCTAATTCAGCATTTTATATGATGTAACCTCAGTGCTTATCTGTTACAAGTATTTCCAAGACTATAAACCTTCCTGGAGGCCTTTGCTGTTGGATGTAGTTTGTTGTCTTACCCAGGATGGCATGTTTTAAGAGAAATATTTTATAAATTTTGATCGAATTTAGCACTGGCTTCTCGGTCAGTGAATGCTGAATGTTTCCTAATAAGGAAACAGCTAAAATTATCAACCCTAGAATTACAATCAAACCTAGAATTACTTATTTCAAGATTTCTTATTAATTGAAATGTTATATTCAGTGGACACATGTATCTGAATTGGTATGCCTTTTCTAATTTTTTATTTTCTTAAACTTTCAAATTACCATATCTTCTGGCTTACAAAGCACACATTTTTTCCAAAAAAAAGATACCCTGAAAAGTATGTGAGTGTCTTCCAATATGAATGTAAGTCAACACCAAGTCTCAAGTAAGCTTGGATGGTCATTTAATTGGCTTGACTGATAGGGATGTAGATTTGCATGTTGAGTCATTACACTATAATGTTAGCTATCTTTAGCCTTTTATATGATATAATCTCAGTACTTTGCTGTTACAAGAATTTCCAAGACTGTAAACCTTCCTGGAGCCGAGCCACAAACTTAAACATGTTCTGTTTACTAGCAGTGGCAGCAGCGATTCTGCTCTTGGCTAGTATGTCATTGCCATACAAACAAAATCTGACAAGTGATTAATGCAAACAATACGTGGCACCAGTTTGTGAGGGACAGATGGTGAATGTGTTGTTCTATGAGAATTACCTTTTTTTTTCTTAGAAATTTCTTTCCAATATGAGGGTGTGTCTTCTAAGATGCAAAATACAGTATTTAAATAAGCCTTCAAAATCTCTGTCTGTCTTCCTTCGAAAATCTGGATCAATGTTTGAAATTATTAATTTATATGAAAGAACTGAATATTTCAAGTTACTAAACACAAACTTTTCCAACCTAAAACCTTCTTAGCTTTTTATTTTTAATGTTGAGCAAATCATTGTACAAAAAACTAACCACTAAAAGCATTTGTATTATACTGGTTGTAATTTATTTAATACATGGACTGACTGATAAGTAAGGTCTCCAATACTAAATTAAATAAGTAAATTTTTGGACTTAGGAATTCGACCAATATGAATTATAATTATAAATAATTAATTCAAATATTATAGACAACAATAACAAAATGAACAAGTCTTAACAGGCATTTTTAAATCAATGCCACGAAAACATGAATTTCATAATGCTTAATGACCAGTGAGTATTCAGCATCAGAGGACAGCGGATTTGCATCCTCCAGCAGGATATTTATCTGGTAAGATTCAGGCCAGTAGATGTAGTCAGATAAAAATACTGTTTACAAAACTGAGTTTCTACATGTATATGAGTATGCATTAAAAATAACATTTAAACAAAATAAATTAAAAATAAAAAATATGTCAGATTTAATCCATTTCTTTATATATATATATATATATATATATATATAAAGAATAGTATTGGGGAAATTGTATGACAAAATGGAGATAGTTTACTTATGACATTTTATCCTTCAGGACTTCATCAGACTAAATTTTGTGATTTTCGTAGGAATACACATGTACACAACAGAGAGATGCCAGAAATTTTAGCATATTTTTTTTTCTTATCTAGCTGAATTCGGTTAGTCTTTTTCTTTCCATCACTTTTGTGTAAATAGGTATTCCATGCTATGATATTAGAAGATCTTGAAATGTTGTAAGAACCAGGGTGCAGATTTACTGTAGATGACCTTGTGATTAAAGCACTCTCTAGACATTTATGTTGTAGTGAATTATTTCTCCTTTGATGAGAGTATCATTTTTTTATGTAAAAATTTTGGTCAGTCTCGTTATGGTGGGCAATCAATGCATTTGACTTATTATTTGTAAAATTTCCTGTTTGGCTAGATAAAAAAAAATCTAAAGTTCTCATCACCTCTCTGTTGAGTGCATGTGTACTACCAAAATAATAAAATTTAGTCTAATGAAGGACAAAATACATCACAAGTAAACTATTTCCACTTTGTCATAGTGCATTGTGATTGCTGGTAGTAATAATAAGATAGTACTCAATGTAAAAAAAACAGAGCTAAATTATTTATAAAAAGGAAAGTTAAGTTGTACATCTATAATTTAGCATACTTACACACACACACACACACACACACACACACATATATATATATATATATATATATATATATAAATAATGTTGTGGTTATCAGTGAAGAAAGTAGAATTGGCATGTTGAGGTTTGCTTTTGAACAAATAACCTTTGAAAAATATCAATCTGTTCCACCTCAGCCATAGGTAAAATAGCAAGGCAGACAGGGCTCTCTAGCTTTGATTGGCAACCACTGGAGAAGGACAATACAGAATTATTAAAAGTTTTAAAATTTTTTAGATACCCTACCCCCATAAAAACTTGCTATGGAAACCACAGTGCATCACGACATGGGGAGGCTGTGACCCCTCTACTCAACAAGGGGCCTCTACAAAGCTAACGCACACACATACATACATGTGTTTATATGATGTGCCTTGAAGTTATCACAAGCTGGGATGTAATACGTTCCCTGCTTGAAATAAGGTATATGCACAGAAGAAAAAATTTAAGGAGATGGTAAATATCTTCTCCAGCTGCAGGGCTTCTTTAGATGTGTAAACTCACCCCCCCCCCAAAAAAACCCTTTGTTTTGATCACCTGCATAACTTCCATTTCTGACACCTTCTGCCCTCACCCCTTTCATATATAATTTAATTACATAGTTCAATGAAAACAGATTCAAAATACAGTCTTTTGGATAACTCCATGGCAACATTTGGAACAGGTGTAACCTTTTTATTTGAAGAACTTTAGAGGTTCTTGAGTGATCCACTTCATCTAAGTTTATTTAAGGGGGACCAGAAGTAACTTTGGATATAGATAACATTTTGACCTCATTTTTGTGCTTAGTTTAAAAAAAAAAAAAACTATCAAGAAATATTCATTCTACTACTTGTTATATATCCACTGTTCATAGACTGAGTCATCTCACTGCTTAATTCTGTGGCTTATCAGAACAAAAAATAGATTTGCTTTCAGACTGTTTTAATTCTAACTGTAAGTGTTTAGGAATATACAAGATAATTATTTAAAAAAAAACAATTCTAATCTCATTCAAGGTAGAAGCCTTCAGTATCAATGCACTTGCTTTAGCGCTCTAGCCACATCTTTAAAACCTTTACCACACTGCAGGTGAAATTGTCACCATAGAATTCTCTCCCTTTGCTACTCTAGATGCATTCTATTGCCTTGATATGGTTGCTATAAATAACAGTTGTCAACTGTTATTTCCAGTATTTTAGGCTGGAAATTGCCTACTACTGCTTTCGTACAAGGTTAAACTTCTGTTTTCCATTGCCATTTTGAATTCTTCTAGACTCTACATGAGGTGTAACACTGGTTAAACCCATGTTAATTTTTTGCGATTTTTTTTGGTAAACAATATCCAAGCCTTTATTCAGGATTTTTTCTTTGATTAGGACTCTGATGATGATTTTGAAGGCTTTACTTGAATGGATATTGATGGTAAAGTCGTTAAACATGATAACCATGCTAGTGACCTGGAGGAAAGTAATGATGACTACTAGCGGCTACTATCTTCCATGCCTGACTAATTTTATGGAAGCTGCTAGTGACCATCGATATACCTGATAGCCTTTCTGAAGTTGAATTATTTTGTCTGTTTATAAACAACAAAATAATAACTTTATTCACCAACATGACACATAAATATGAGTCAGATGAAAGAGCAAGCAAATGCCAGTGTCTTCTCATGTAAATACAAGGAAACACATCACATTTTTCAATGAAATGAAAGCCTTCTTAGCAATTTTGCTTCTTATTGCGCCCACAGAACTCCACAAGGAGTAATAAAAGTTAAAGTACATTGAATTATTTATGTATTTTTTAATGTATTTCTTTTTATTTCATGTTTCAATATTTTTGTTTTCAACATCAAAACATGCATGCAAAACATAACCCATGACATCAAAATATTACTCATTCATTCTTTTAATAGTGTACAAAAATCGAAATCTATAGGCACAATACAAAGAAAGTTATAACAATTTTAAAACAGTAGGTTTTCATAGTTTTGCACCCTCAAAAAATGTAATGACAGGGGAGAAAATTCTAGAAGGAAATTAGTGTGGTAAAGGTTCTTTCATATCCTACCAAAGTGAAGGAATCCAATGTTCTAGTCACAGTCTCCAAAATGATAATGCATTAATCTATTAATAGACTGGATCATTTCATAGGTTTCTGTAGTTTTTTTTTGTTATGCTTAACCCAAAACTTTATAGCGTAGCAAGCCTCCAAGTTGTCCTGTCCTGAACTGGATTGTATAAACTAGTCACAGCTGTGACAGGCTGTGTGTAGGGGGGTTATGGGTCTAAAGTGCTTTACTGGCCTGACCTTTCAACTTGGAAACATGATTTGACATTTACACTGTTTACATTGTTTGGACTGTTGTCCTCATCTTTATTGTCATATTCATGAAGTTTCAGCCATTGTACACTCCAGCCTTTTTTGGGTGATATACGTTGGTATTTCAAACCTAACCCCTTTTATTTTGTCCACTGGGTTAGATTGTTCTATTTCAATGTGCTATGCCTTTTCTGGATATCTCTGT